ATCCCCCTCCAGACAGACGCGCAGTCGGGAAGCGGAGAGAGCGGCAGGAAGCGATCGCGTGGTCACGGCCCGACTCTGCGGATGTCGCATCCAAGGAGATCCGCTCTCTTCTCGTCTTCGGATGCATTCCGTCGTCGCGACGGCAGATCTGAAGGATTCCTCGTCGGCGAATGCCTGGGCCGTCCGCGACGCTCCGTACCATTTCTTTCTCTTCTTCCTTCCATCCGTCCGCACGTTCCGAAAAACTCATCGTTTGGTCGATAAAATCGATCCCTTCGTTACCGTATCTTCGGAATCGATCGATCTTCGCCGGAGACGTTCGGCCGGTAGTAAAAGATGAAAAAGTGTCGTCAACGGCGACAAGTGGCATCGTGGAAAGTGGAACGGCAGATCTAGTACCTGGACTGGTACCCTAGTACCTGGACTGGTACTCGGGTAACGATTTTGTGCATGGTATTCTCGCTGGTGTAGTGACGAGGTTCCTTTTCTCGCTGTGTGTAGGAAGCACCTGGAAGGACCAGGTGAAGGTGAAGGTGAAGGTGAAGGTAAAGGTAAAGGTCGGAGGACGACAGCGAAGCCGACCAGAATGTTGTCTCACGTGCCGTGGAAACCCCCCGTGAACATCGAGTACCAGAACGTCAACTACAGGATCTCCAAGGGACGGAAAGGTACAGAGCCTCTTTCGTGATCGTTCGTCGTCGATGCTTGATGGCGCTTTTCGGGGTCATCTTAAGGATTTGCGGGCATTCCGATCGAACTCATTAAATATTCGAATGGGATTTTAAAGTTTTCCGGCTGTTTGCGGTCGTGTTCCATGCTCAATGTTAGTATTCTATCCTCGAATCAGACAAACTCTTCCAATATTTATATTCTACTCGAAATAAATCGTCGGGAAACGATATTTTATGCTTTCTCCGAAATTCCTTCACCGTAGACGATAACCGATTTTTCTCCTTTCGGCCATCGCAAGACGGCCATCGATTTGGAAGCAATTCGTGTTCGGTGGGAAATGGAGAGACGAGTGCAAGGTCTCGGTACTCGCCTCGCGTTTCGCCGTTTTTTTTTTCTCCTCATCACCGGATGTGACATCGAAACTAAAGGTCCAATTATTTGTGAGGCCTTCTTTTCGTGCGTTCTGAGCGGCTCGACCGATCGACTGCATCATCTGAAATGAGCAAGTCGCCATGGCTACTCTATTTTCCAAATACGATGCCCCATCATTCCATTATCATGGCTGAATGATACCTCTTGACAAATTTGAGAATCAGAAATAAAACTTGCTTTTGCCCGTCACTCGTCTCGGGGGAGGAAATACTCGGCACGAACAGCACGCGCTGAATGTACGGATGCAGGAAGTAATCAGACGCGAGACGGTAGGTAAACGCTAAAATAAATGGGTAACATTTCGAGGTGGGAGTAAAATTGGCGTTTCCGTTAAAAGATATCACCTTGGAGGTATTTTCTCAACGCAGGAAATACGATCGGAGCTCTTCGTGGAAATCGCCATCTCTATCTGTTTGTTGGATCCTTATCGTCATAAAAATTCAAGTTAAGTGTCGATTCGGAGGACTAACAGCATGCACAAGGAGTAAATACTCTAGAATGTGGACGACATGCATTATTATATTTAATGACATGCTTCCTTCCTTGAATTTTGTTCCTACGCTTTAAAAAGATTTGATGAAATCAGACTTGAAAAAAGGACGCATCATCCTGCACGATGCATTAACATTTTTCCCTCCTGAATATTAAGAGCTCGCAAGGAAAACAAGTTGCAAATTTTCGCGGCCGCTTGACTCGATCGCCTTAAACTGGCTGCGTCGAAGAGGAAACGCAGCGTTCCCATCGGAACGAAAGCCCGGTGTCGGCGTTTCGCCGGATCTCGCGGGAGTGGGGAAAAAAAGGAGGGCGGAAGGAAGGAAAAAGGAGGGCGGAAGATAAGGGATGGCAGTGTCGGCGGAGTCTGGAGGAACGCGGTGACCGTGGTGACCGTGGTGACCGTGGTGACATCCTCGGGTTCGACCGGGACCGGCTCGGTTCCCCTGCGCTTATCGCAGGATGTTCGAACCCTTTTGCGGATTCGAGGTGGAAGCGCGACGAGATCGTGAGGCATTGTTAAGTCGCACGAAAGAAGAAAAGTCGCGGTCGGAAGGCCTTCCTAATGGGTTAAAACGTGAGGCGAATGGAGAATGGTAAGCCTCTCCAAGAAGGGGAACGGGCATCGGCGGGGAACCATTTGCGGCTGCGATCGACTGTTTTAGAGTCGTGGTTGCCAGGTTTGGATGATGTGAGGCCTTTATTTTCTCCTTTTATCGGCGACAAAAGTGAGCACGTTCTGTCTTCGTGCTTCTTTGTCCCGAAAATGGAGAAATCCGACGAAATAGCTGCGTCGGAAGAGGTTAACCTTAAATGCCTTTCACGAGGACATAGAGTTAATACGTGTATGGGGGATGCCGTGCCCGACCTCATGCCGCATTTAAAATCGAGCAGCGGAATCCAAACGGGGCAGAGAGAGCAGTGCAAACGATCCACAATCGCATCCGTAGGAAAAAAAAAATCCAGATGCCATTCCCGGCATAACGGAGGACCGGAGACTTACCTTCCGTCACCTTGCCATCGCAAGGCCTTTTGAGCCATCGTCTCGATGAGTTCATAACCATGCCGACCGATACTCTAGCTCTCGATAGAGTTTCACCCCTGTAGGTACCGAATGAGGCGAACGCAGACCGAAGGGATGTCCGAGTCCTCATCCTGCACCAGTTTCTTCGCAAACTTTTGCCGATCCCAAAGATTTCCCAGCCGTTTGTCACCATCGATGAGACGAGGGTCTCTCCATCTCGACTCCATGCAGTTGGACGTGTCGACTTCACCGCCGTTCAATTTCCGTCAGGCTGAATCGGTGGGGAAGATCATGGCGTCATTGTTCCGGGATGCGAAGAGTATGCTACCGATCGAATGACGAACGTCACCGTACCATCGTAATTATTTACTACTAGCGAGTTTTGCTTCTTGCAAAAAAAGCTCGCTAAGTTACCCCGGATTGTCCGAATTTCGAAACGCCACCTAGCCTATGACCATCCCAGGACCAAATGAGGAAGCCATGCAAAGTTTGGTCGGACTGGGATCATAGGCGTGACCGTGCATAAAGGACAGACAGACACACACACACACACAAACAAACAAACACTGAAATATAAGTAGTATACAGTAGATGTAGATGTGCTGCACGAGTTGTGCCATGCTATCAAGGGCAAGTGCGGAGGAAATAGCGTGTTAATGTGCTGCTTCTTCGTGACGATGCACCATCTCACACCTCCTGCGTTGTCCCGCATGGACCTCGGTGAATCTGGCTTCTAACTGCCGTCTCATTCCCGAGACCTTGCCCCAACAACTTTCCTTTTTCTGCCGTTTGATAGCACACCGCAGAGGAACCAGGATTTAGGCCGACGACGACCGACCGTCGAGTGTTTTCGGGAGCGGGACGATGCAGGGTGTTCTTTCTTTTAGGAAATTAAAATCTTGCAGCAACGCTGGTCCGAGAGTGAGATCATCGAGAAGGAATGTGTTCAAGAATGCTGGGAGTCGACGGCAACTCCTTCGTCGTCGGGGAGAGTCGTCAGTGATCGTGATGCAGGCGGTCTTTTCGAGATCCGGGGGGGGGGGGGGGGGG